GGGGGAGACGAGGGGGGGCGAGGTGGGGGAGACGAGAGGGGGGGGAGACGAGGGGGGACGAGGGGGGAGACGAGGGGGGGGGGGAGACGAGGTGAGGGAGACGAGGGGGGGGAGACGAGGTGGGGGGGCAAGGGGGGGGGGGAAACGGGGGGGGAGTGGAGGAGGGGGCGAGGTGGGGCACACGAGGGGGGGGGGGGGGAGACGAGGCGCATTTGCGGTCCGCGCGCAGAACGGAAAGGGGTCTCAACATTCGTCGTCAGTCGCTGCACGGATTTTTTTAAACGAAAAGTGTTGCATATTTCATATACACACACACGTTGTGATCTATGATTACAAGTATTTTTTTTGTACAACTTACAGACGACATATCGAGAGACAGAACGCGTCGTTCCATGGGTGGAGTCCTCAGTAACCTGGGGCTGCTCCAGTCCTTGCCGTCCATGCATTTGTCGATGATGATCACACAGCCCCCCCCCCCCACCACTTCCACCCCCGCTCGCCACATTTAATTTCGCTAGGACCTCAATCACAGCGGCCTCGGCTTAATTTGTCATCGAGTAAATTCTCCGGCTCCGCTGCTAAATTTTGGAGTCGGTGGGATACGTGGAAATGGTGGCGGCCAGAAAGCCCCCTTTGGGACTGCCGGTGCGGTTTACTGGATGTGGTGTGCCGGGTGGTGGTGGTTGTGGTGGGAGTGGGGGGGGGGGGTTTCTGAAGTATTTTTCTGGGTCGCTGGCAGACTTGGGAGTAGGTGATTAGCCACGTACGGTGCGAAAAAAAGAGTTCACCGTACGTACGTGTCACAAATAGTAGCCGCAGCCGATACGTACTGAGAACGAGAGAGAGAGAGAGGGGTATGTATGGTGGATGGAGTTTGCCTGCTCGGACAAGTCTGCCCTGGCTGAGAGATACCGGGCGGTGATTGTCAATAACACGCGCGGCTGACGGGTGGCGGAGTTTGACTTCTATATTTGAGTGGGTGGAGAGGGGGGGGGGTGCAGGGACTCGCTTTGTTCTTCACATTAGGAATCGCGGGTGCGTATAATTAATAAAATTAAAAAATCTTGATTGTAAACTTACTGAACATGATTTCATAAAGGTGCCCAGTTTGAGCAGGGCATTTCCGCCCCCCCCCCCCGCAAACTCCGCCCATAGACCCCCCCCCTTCCCCTCCACTCCACATCCCAATGGCCCAGCACCACCACCACCGATGTAAAATCATAAACCCACCCTCAATGCCACGTAGGACCCCATCCATCAGCGCACAGAGCACGTAGTACCTGGCCAGCGCGCGGTGTCTCTCGCTCGCGTGCGCACGCCCGAGTCGCCGTGACCCCACGATGGCTCCAGAACGTGGAGTGACCATCCCGGAGTCTCCCCACGACCGCGATAGATGAAGTGGCAATAACACTGGTCAACACACTTTTTCTGGCATAAGATATTCCAACGGGTTTAAGGTAATTTTGGGGTGCTGATTCCAAATCTGTCATCAGTTTTTGTCTATCACATCAGGTTTTTGAGATATCAAATATTGCATTTTCAATAAAAAAACTGCAGAAGAAAAATATTAAATGTGGATATCTACATAAAATGATATTATAAACACACTATCCTAAAAATACAGCACCATATTTTAACACTAAAGCAGTCACTGACTCGCAACAACTTGCAATCATAAGTGACAGAGTTAATTTCGGGTAAAAGCAATGAAAATGGGGTATGCCGATAGCATAAAAATGATGTGGTAGAGCAAATTTGAAATCAGATTTGGAATCAGCACCCTGAAATTAGTCTAAAACAGCTGCAAAAGTCCATGCCAGAAAAAAATGTTTTTTTCTTGTTGACCAGTGTATTCATTCCTCGGTGGTGGTGATCATTATAATGATCATTATTATAATAATTAGTTTTTTACCCTTTTATCTGGCAACAAAACTGACACCTTTTTTTACAAGGAGTCATGTTTGTATTGACCACAATACCTGCAGTCGGAATGCAAACAAAAACATAACTCTGATCATGTATGCACTGTCCTTGAAATCGATTGGTCCACACCCGAGACAGCTTTCTTTAGAGCCTAGTCTCTCATGGTGTTGGACCAGATGACGCCAAAAGGTGTCAGTTTTGTTGCCAGATAAAAGGGTAAAAACCAATTATCATATTTTGCTACTGGCAAATGAGGTTCCAATGATGATCATTATTGTTTTTGCTACTTGAAATCTGAGAAAACGATTCCACCCCCCTACCTCCCCCATGAATATACATTGATTCGCCTTTTCCAGTAACAAAAAAAATCACAACGGAGCGGTTGTTGTTGTTGGTGGTGGTGGTTGTTGTGGTTGTTGTTTGTACACAAACTCGTTACGCGTCGCCGAGGAGCATCACGGGAATAATGCACGTGACCTGTACCACCAGCCCCCCACGTCTTCACGTACACAACTATAATACAATGCTGTCTAGGCCATCAGTCTACCAATATTGCCTCGCGAGCATTAGTGTCGGCAAAGTAATCAGACTCACAATACTCATTTATGCCGGAGGAACCCGCTGAGCTATAAAGCTCTTTCTCGCAGATGTCCAGTCGAGTAAAGGGAACTCTCTGGCCGATGTTCACCTTCTGGGTCTCACTTTCAAGGGCACAAATGGTAGCTCAACGCAGTAACTCGTCACGTGGACATTGACAGGGGCCAGATAATCTTGGCGGGCCGTGATGGTGTCACGGCGAGGCGCGGTGAAGAAACCACAAACACAGACACACACACAGACACACACAGATGTAGAAACCACAAACACACAGACACAAAAACCACACACACACAGATGTAGCAACCACACGAACACACACACAGATGTATAAACCACAAACACAGACCCAGACACAAAAAACACACAGATGTAGCAATCACACGGACACACACACACAGATGTTAAGTCGAACGTTTTTGTTAGTTCTGATGGTCCGGCTACGACATCGCGAGGTGAAGGTTTTTGATACGAGACGTTGCTGAGACGTTGCTGAGACGTTGGTAAGGATCGTGCGACTCGCGAACTAAACCCCTGCCCCCCCCCACCCCCATGCACGCTTTACGATGACTTAATTTCAAGATAAAATAACAATTAAAAAAATACTACTAACAATGATGATGATGACGATGATTATTATTAATACATTTGAAAGAAGAAAAAAAACGAATAAAAACATAAAAACCGTCTGGAATGCATCTCTCTCTCTCTCTCTGCACGGCCACTTTTTGTTGTTGGGCAGCGACTTTCATCGCAAGGCCCCGCGGGTCATTGGTGGCTCCTGGGGGCCCTCGGGGGCCCTTTAGTGCGGCCCCCGGCAAGACACGAATGGCGCAAAAAACACAACCCCATCACGGAGGTGTTTGGGTTATACTCGTAGTTTTTTGCGGTAAAGTCACGTAGGTAAAAAATAAATAATAAAAATAGAATTGAAATAATAATAGAAATGAAATAATAATTTTAATAGAAATACAATATTTACTTTATTTCACGTAGGTAAAAAAGAAATAATAAAAATATAATTGAAATAATAATTATAATTATTTTATTTCTATTATTATTTCAATTATATTTTTATTTTTTTTACCTACGTGACTTTACCGAAAAACCTAAGATTATGAATCCTTGCAGTCACAAAAAAGCTTCAAATCTAGTGTTTGAGTTAGATCGCGCGAGGCAAAATAAGTGTGTCGTTAAACCCGCCACCACCCGACACAGCCAACTAGTAAGGGTTGTCACGTAAGCAGAACGTAGCCAATTTGTCGCTAGTGACCCCACTTCTGACACCAGTTGTTGGGGTGTAAATGATAACTCGGAGGCAGATCTTCATGTAAGGGCTTGCGCCGGTTATTTATTGAGGGTTTTAGACAACTCCCCCAGGGGTAGGGGTCCTTCACTAGGTATCTTCCTTAGCTCGGCTAGCTCCGGTCTCTCTCCCTCGAGTCGGATCGGGGGATCAGCCAACACCGACCGAATGGGGAGAGTAGCACCTCCTATGACTACCGCCGGCTTCTTTCCAGACTCCTTGAGCCCTACCCCTGGCTGGCTCTTCGACCGTTCTCTATCCCGGGCTCCCACAGTGACCCCGCTTTCGTCACGTGGTCCCCCTTAAGTACCAAGAGGAGGCCCTACGTCATCGCCCCGCCCAGCGCGCGTGACGTCACGTCCCATGACGTCACCGCACTGGACAGCGCGCATGACGTCACGTCCCCATATTACTCCTCTACACTAGTACAGCACACCGGTGTGTTGGAGAGCAAAGCCACAACATTTACAATCTGAGTACGACGTTTCGCCAGTAATTACAACTAGCTTCATCAGGCGACAGCCAGATTTGTGTTCTGTTTACGTGACAACCCTTGCTAGTTGGCTGTGTCGGGTGGTGGCGGGTTTTAACGACACATTTACATTTTTACGCGATCTAACCCAAAAAAACCTATTATGGATGATATTGGTCGTGAAAGCCTGCTAAGTGTTAAACTGAAAACACACCCCCCCCTCCATCATAATCATCGCGCTGCTGTCAAACCCCAGTGGTTTCAAATGGTGTGGCGGCCCTCACACAGCGACACCGCTGTCAACCCGTGCGGTTTTACCACCCCCTCTTCTTGTACGGGGAAATTGAGGTTTCAGCTCCGCACGGCGTACAGCCATAACAATTTGGGCACCAAAAATGTTGTTGTCTATTTGTGTTTCTCCCTTGCGACGATGGGACTTTGTAGGATGAACGTTGAGATTGTATAAGGGGCCCGGGGTTGACCAAAAAGGTCTGAATTGGTCTGTAATAATGTAAGGCATTGATTAGGGGATGGCATTGATGATGTCTTGCCCCCTCCCCCACCGCCTCTGAAAATTATCGAAGAGCCCTGGGCTGGGCTGAAGCCGCCTGCACGGTCAATGGACGCAGGCGGGTGCGGAGACGGTGCCCACCCCCCCGACGGTAGCAGGCGACAGCCAAAAAGCTGACCCATCGTCTATTTCATCATGGGACCTCCTTTGCCAGTACCAAAATATACTAATAGGGGTTTTCCCCTTTTTTCTGGCAACAAAAACTGACACCGTTTGCAAGGAATCATGCTTACATTAACCACAATACTTGCAGTCAAATGCAAACAAAAAACAATACTCTGATAATTTATGCATAGTATTTGAAACGGATTGGTCCACACCAGAGACAGCTTTCTTTAGAGCCTAGTCTCATATGGTGTTCGACCAGATGACGCCAAAAGGCGCACAGTTCAAAGACAACGCACTACCAGAGTAATGAGAGCTCAGGGTGAGCAAGCTACATCATGGGACCTCCTTCGTCTATTGTTTGTTTATCACTTGTTGCTATATTTACCCAAGAATGTCAGTGTGTAACGCGCGTGACGTCACTCTCACGTCGACCAGCCCCCCCCCACATTAATAATCATGAACAGGTTACGTCCTCCACATGGACCCGCCCCTCATTAATAATCATGATGTTCATTCTAAATGTGGAGGGAAAAACCGGAGGACCTGGAAAAAAATCGATGCAACCAAGGGGATATACAGCAGGCGTCAGAGTCAGAATGGAACCTACGACCTGCTGAATACCAGGCGAGGTAGTTAACATTTCACCACGGAGAGAGGCATGCAAATTCCACATATACAGCAGGCATCAGGGTCAGGATCGAACCCACGACCTCCTGAATACCATGCGAGGTAGTTAACATCTCACCACGGAGAGAGGCATGCAAATTCCACATATACAGCAGGCGTCAGGGTCAGGATCGAACTCACGACCTCCTGAATACCAGGCGAGGTAGTTAACATCTCACCATGGAGAGAGAGGCATGCAAACTCCACATATACAGCAGGCATCAGGGTCAGGATCGAACCCACGACCTCCTGAATACCATGCGAGGTAGTTAACATCTCACCACGGAGAGAGGCATGCAAACTCCACATATACAGCAGGCGTCAGGGTCAGGATCGAACCCACGACTTCCTGTATATCAGGCGAGGAAGTTCCGGGCATTCGTTGAAATGTTGATTTCACATAAATCTCTCCGAGATAATTATCGGCAGGCCCACGTGTGGAGGGGTAAAGTGTGGGTACTCCCCTGAGAGGGAGATTCCCTGCGTGGAGGATGAGGCGGGAAGGCCCTCTGCTCTGCGTGGAGGAGCAGGGAGAACCCTTGGATGGAGGAGGAGTAGAGGGGGAGAGAGACCTCTTGGATGGAGGAGGAGGAATTCCCTGGTGCAGAGCTACCATCATCTGCAAATTACAAGAGGCTCCAGAGAGTAAGACGCACTCCAAACTTTGTGGCGAATTTTTATTTTTTTATTTAAAACCCCTGCTTCATCATCGGGAGAATACGGCACTGCAACGGGGAGCCGTCTTCCCAGGAGATGGTTACGGACACGGTGCTTTAAAACGCTGGATGAGATGTGTTTCGGGAAGACGATTGCGAACAGCAAGACGAGTCTCAAAGTCTTTCCCGAAGACTTTGAGTCTCGTCTTGCGTTCTTCACAATATCGGACGCAGCCACCCCAAACTGGAGAATACGTTAGGTCGCCCGATTAAAAACTAATTTCCTTCCTGTGTTAGTTTATTGTCCTTGCACCGCACCTCCGATTAGCGCCGTTGGCTACGTACGGTGCGAAAGAAGTCCAAAAGACAAACATTCACGAAACATCTCGAGTGATATTTTCCCTTTCGCTTGCAAAGTGAACCGAGCGCGAGTGTAAATATCCACGTGGAGCTCGCACTCGGCGACCTTGCCAACGCGACCTCCTAAAAACTTGCGCGCTGTTGTGGGACCGGCCAAAGGGTCAACGAAGGTCAAAGGAACGTTGACAGATCGATGGCGTTGAGGAAGTCTTCTCGCTCGTCGTACTCAAGCATGACGGGCGGAGCCGCATCATCATCCTCATCATCTTCGTCTTCATCGTCGTCGTCGTCATCATCTCCGGGCGGCTCGCCGTGGCCCCTCGTCATCACGTACACGTGGTAGTGGAAGGTCTCCCCGTACGTGCGGTGCCGCACGCGCCATCCGTAGCGGCGCCGCGCGTACAGCGGCGAGCGCACATGCGGGTGGGCGAACGTCACCGACACGAAGTGGCCGCCCGGGCGCAGGACGCGCGACACCTGTGGGGCGAGGGGCCACGGGGGATGAGGTGCGGGACATGGTGGGGGGAGGGGGGTAGGGGACAGAGTGAGTGATACATGGGGGACGTGAATGTGTCTGTATGTTGAACTTCTTTCGCACCACCGTACGTAGCCAACCGTGCTAATCGGAGGTGCGAGGAAGAACAACAAACTAAACACAAACCTCAGTTCGAAATCTCGATGTTTTAAAAGTGCATAGCTCCAGTGGCTTCCTAATATCGAGGCTCAGCAGGGTGAGTGTCACGTGGTGACACAGCAGTGTGTCACGTGGTGACACAGCAGGGTGAGTGTCACGTGGTGACGCAGCAGGGTGAGTGTCACGTGGTGACGCAGCAGGGTGAGTGTCACGTGGTGACGCAGCAGGGTGAGTGTCACATGGTGACGCAGCAGGGTGAGTGTCACGTGGTGACGCAGCAGGGTGAGTGTCACGTGGTGACGCAGCAGGGAGAGTGTCACGTGGTGACACAGCAGGGTGAGTGTCACGTGGTGACACAGCAGGGTGAGTGTCACGTGGTGACGCAGCAGGGTGAGTGTCACGTGGTGACACAGCAGGGAGAGTGTCACGTGGTGACACAGCAGGGAGAGTGTCACGTGGTGACGCAGCAGGGTGAGTGTCACGTGGTGACGCAGCAGGGAGAGTGTCACGTGGTGACACAGCAGGGTGAGTGTCACGTGGTGACACAGCAGGGTGTCACGTGGTGACACAGCAGGGTGAGTGTCACGTGGTGACGCAGCAGGGAGAGTGTCACGTGGTGACACAGCAGGGTGAGTGTCACGTGGTGACGCAGAAGGGAGAAAGGAGGGGGGGTGATATGCGTCTGCCCGATTTCTCACAGCTGCTGTTTTAATGTGGGAAGTAAAAACGCGGCACGGATGAGATGAGATGCTGTTGTTGTTGTTGTCGTGGCAATCGTGAACGCGAGAACCGGACTCGAACCGAGGCCCTCAGTGGCCCCCGGCTCAGTGCCTGGCATGGCCCTCGTGAATCCCTCCCCCGGCCTCGGGCAAGAAGGTCGTCATGTCACCGTGACTGGATTGTTTTGACAGGATGCAACGGGGATGCTGGTGGGCGCCAAATATCAAGACAGAGATCACCCGCACAGCCTTAAAGCGATGTTAGCGAGCAGCGCCTATGATAGCACGGAACACGAGTGGGTGGGTGGGTGGCCAGCACCACACGCACATGTCTACCCGGTGCCGGTCTGCACGAGGTACTCGTTTTAAGGCTGAGTCGACCTAGGGGATGCCCAGGACCGGTGCAGATATTCGACGTCCGTGAGCGGGAATCGAACAGCGCGATAACCGCTACGCTACCGCTCCCCGCATAAACAAAGATCCCCCTGACAGCTTCAACATACTTTAGGGGCAAGTGCTGTTCGCGAGCACCTACGAAGGCTGGGATACACACAGACACACACACATGTGTAAGACACACGCACACAGGACACACACATGGGTGACGCGCGCGCACACACACACACACACGGGCATGCCCACCCCACCCAGCGCGCCCCACGGAGCGAGAGAGAGAGAAAAAACCCTTTAAGGATCGGTGCTCGCATTTGCATTCTGTGCGCGATGCCACTGCGCAAGCTCCAGCCTGCTTCCACTTCCTCCTCCTTCCCCCCCCTCCTCCTCCTCCGCCAATTCCTCAATCAACAGCATCCCTCCCTCCTCCCCCTCCCTCCTGCTCCCTCCCTCCCTCCTCCTCCCCCGTCCCTCGGCATCCCCACTGCAACCTCCTCCATCATCCCCGCCGATGCAATCACCGCCATCGCCACCCCTCTCGAATACAACCACCACCACAACCACCACCACCACAACCACCACCAGCCGCCCTCCATCCACCTCCGCTGCAATCACCTTCACCACCACCACCACCATCATCAACCTTTCCCTACCTCCCTACCGCAGGCACGGGGACACTGTCTCCCAGCAGTGGATGACGGCTCGACGTTCATCATCGTCGTTGCATTATTCTCTGTTGGTCATCATCGAAGATTTATCTTCAAGACGTGCGCACGATTTGGCACGTGCCGGGAGTCAGTGGGAGGGGGGGGGGGTACGGCCCAAATTTAACTTCTTTCGCACCGTACGTAGCCAACCGTGCCAATCTCGGAGGTCGACATCTCTTCCACCATCCGAGTAGGGCGATAGAAGAGGCGTGGACAAGAGAGGGGAGAGAGAGGCAGCAAGACGAGGTGGGATAATGAGACGTGGATGGGGCACGCAGACAGAGAGAGAGGAGGCAGTGAGATGACAGAGACGTGGGGCGAGGTGGAAAAACAAAGACACAGACGACGACGGAGGTTGATGAATTAAAACTGCTTCGTGTTTAGTCTGCCCCCCCCCCCGCACCTCCAATTAGCGCGGTTGGCGAACGCACGGCGCGAAAGAAGTCCAACGCACGCGCGCGCATTTCGTGTCAATTCGTCCGCGTTCATTGGGATTCTGAATTCGATCGTTCGATGCGAGGATTCCAAATGACCCTCATACCCCCCCCCCCCCCGCCATTCTCCCTTATTTTCCAATGAATCCGTTGGGGGGGGGGGGGGGGTCAGGGACCTTGAGCTACCTGGGGCTCCTGCGCTTGCCCTCGGTGTGGCACCCCCCCCCCCCCCGCGTGGCCACGTGCTCCTCTCGCTGTTGAACGTTCGAGGAGGCACGAGCGACTGCAACGCGGTGGGGGGGGGGGGGACGCCCTGGGCCTCCCCTAGGTCGGCTCGGCCTCAAAAATGAGTACATTGCGCGTGGTGTTGGCGCGCGTGGAACAGTCGCCGCTGGGGGAGGAATCAAGTGGGCCGGGCGTGGTGCTGGCCACCCACCCACCCCCGTACAGCCTGAAACAGACTGTTGGGGCAAGTGCTGTTAGCGAGCACCTATGAAGGCCAGCACGGCACACGAGGGGGTGGGTGGCCAGCACCACGCCCAGCCGCCTTTGTCTCTGCAGTGACGATGCTTACACACCGCACCAGGTACGCATTTGAGGCCGAGTCGACCTAGGGGAGGCCCACGACCGATTCAGAAAATCATCACCTGGTGTTGGCCGTGAGCGGGAATCGAACTCTGTTCGCCGGGTTCATAGCGCAGCGTAGCGCTAACCGCTGCACCACCGCTCCACGCACACACACGGCTTAAACTCGCATGAGCACCCCCTTCTCACTCTCACTCTCTCGCCCACGCTCATCAATGAACGGCGAGGGGAGGCGAGGGAGCGAGGGAAGGGGGTGAGGGGAAATGTCTGTCTGTGTGTGTGTCTGTGTGTGTCCGTGCACGCGAGGAGCGGTAGTGTGGTGGTTAGCGCACTGCGCTACGAAACCCGGCGACCCGAGTTCGATTCCCCATTCACAAAATTACAGTGGCGAATATCTCAACCTGGTCCTGGGCAACTTCCCTAGGTCGACCCAGCCTTGACACAATGAGCTGTCGGTGCGGTGTGTGGGGGAAAATAAAATAATCAGAATTCAGGAGACACCCACCCCCTCGTGTGCCTTGCCAGCCGTCGTAGGTGCTGGCTCGCAGCACTTGCCCCGAGAGGCTATAAGGGGGATCTTTGTCTTTACCTGTGCGTCGATGTGCACGCGGGGTGGACACAATTATCGTCATTATCGTTATCATTGACCACCACCACCATCATCTTTGTCATCATCGATCATTGGGTTGGTGGCAGCAAGGATGGAGAGGGATGTGAATTGGAGAGGGGGAGAGGGGGAGGTGGGGTTGGGGGGGCTGAGCAAGAGGAGAAGAAACGGGGGAGAAGTGTGGGAGGACGAGGGGAGGGGGAGGAAGTGGGGTGGGGAATAGACAGGGAACTGCAAATGCCGGCGTAGAATGCGCGCGTGTGCGTGCCGCGCGTAACAATGTGCGCCTGGACTCGTGCGTGCGTGCGTGTGTTTGCATGCGTGCGTGTGTGCGTGTCCGCGTATGTGTGTGCATGCGTGTGTGTGTTTGCGTGACCGCGTGTGTGTTTGCATGCGTGCGTGTGTTTGCATGCGTGTGCGTACGTGCGCGTGCGTGCGCGTGCGTGTGTGTGTCCGCGTGTGTGTGTGTGCGTGGCCGCGTTTGAGTGCATTCGTGCGTGTCCGTGCATGCACACACGTGGGGAGCGGTGGTGTAGCGGTTAGCGCTACGCTGCGCTCCGAACCCGGCAACCCGAGTTCGATTCCCCGCTCACAGTCAACGCCATTGACGATTATCTGAACCGGTCCTGGGACTCCCCTAGGTCGACTCAGGCTCAAATGAGTACCTGGCGCGGTGTGTAAATACATCGCCACTGGGAAGACAAAGGCGGCTGGGCGTGGTGCTGGCCACCCACCACCTCCGTGTGCCGTTCTGGCCCTTCATAGGTGCTACTCGCTAACAGCACTTGCCCCAACAGTCTGATAAGGCTATACGGGGGATCTTTGTCTTTGTATTGTGCATGCGTGCACGTCGGGGGATTGTTACAAAAAAACATGGCGTCATGAAACGTGTGAACGTGACCAGATCGCCGTCACTATGATGATCATCGACTATCACCATCATCACCAACATCGCCACCAACATCACCGCCACCAACATCACCGCCACCAACATCACCGCCACCACCATCATCATCACCACCACCACCATCATCATCACCACCACCATCATCACCACCACCACCATCATCACCACCACCACCATCATCACCACCACCATCATCACCACCATCATCACCACCACCATCATCACCAACATCATCTCCACCATCATCACCACCATCATCACCACCATCATCACCATCACCACCACCATCAACACCATCATCACCACCATCATCACCACCAACATCATCACCACCACCACCATCATCGCCTCCAATTATCGCACATCGACCCATGCCTATAATAATCATGAATCACCCTCCCCCTTTTTAATCAATCAATGGCTCTTCTTCATAATCATCGTCATTACCATGAGCCACGCTCAATCCACTGCTGGGTGATGATGAAGGCCCC